TCCATAAAAAAATGTCATCTGTGGAAGCCGTGGCGCTGTAAAAAGCACGACCAATCGTCTGAGCCGGCCCGGCTAAAATGACTGGATGGCCTACCTGCCTGTCAGCCTTCCATCTGTGCACAAACTTATCTCGTGCCCTCATTGGTCATGTGCACGTTCATGTGTGTTGGAGGAGGGGCTCTGTAAGGAAGTGGCAGATTTTTTTCCGGCTGTGTATTTTCAAATTCTAGCGCACTCAAGCTGGTTTCTCCAAAATTACCTACCCCACCTTTAACATTTCTATTTCATTCTCTTTCTCTGAAGCACCACATTGAACACAGTGTATCGTCTCAAAGCAACCTCAGTATATCCTCTCCTCAAACCGTACCTACATTTCCCTGAAACCTTTTTCCTTCATCTGCCCTCTAACCAGGCAATAGGACTGTTGAACTCCTGAGCTGTACCCTCCCCAACATAAGTCTATAGTACATACGTCTGTCCCTATTGTTACTCAAAGTGAACTTCTTCCCCACCCTTTGCAGTCAATATGTTGATCTATCCTTGGGCAACATACTTAACTTGCATCATCGCATCACTTTCACAATTGTATGCCTTTTTCCTTTTATATCTTAAGTATTTTTTAGCTTGCAGGAGCCCTGGCACGATATTCATTGCCAATAACTAAACTGTAGCTTTTATGCAAATGAAAATCAAGCCTTCTTTGAACCTCTTTTCTTTATGCATTTGCTCTTTTGTGATAGATGTGCTCTGCAGGGAATTCACTCCTTCACTCGTCTTTGTTTTGAAGAAGCCATACTACGTTTTTTGATTTGTTCCCCTTTCTTGTAGTGTGTTATATAGGTTTCTCTGCAGGTTAATGGTGGGTGTTACCTTGGTTGGTTATAGGCTAATGGTTACACAACCAAAAAAACAACATCACAAAGTGGCCAAAATCTGATCAGCTCATTTTCAGACATGTGATAAATAGATCAGGACAAAAAGAGAAAGAATATTTTTTCCAAAAACGTTCAGAATCTCTTTACACACAGGGGACACATGTTTATGTATAAAAGACATGAAAAAGTGGATTTTGCATAATAGGTGACCTTTAGCATTCAACACACACCTGAGCGTTGTGTTGATCTGCAGGGCTTTGCTGAGCATCTTGGCCCCGGAGTCCTCCAGCAGGTTTCCGCTCAGGTCGACCTTCCGTAGGCAGGCATTGGAGCCCAGGGCGTTGACCATCACTGTGCCCCGCTGACGGAGCCTCGAGTCGGCCAGGGAGAGGGAGTGCAGGGCCTGGAGGAGCCAAGATGAGAGGATGGGAGATGAATGTGAATTGATGTTTCAAGACGTGACATTAAGCGACGAAAACAATTTAACCCGACATGTATTCAAGGTAGATTATAGATAGCGCTTTCAGTTTCAAAACATTTGTGAAGGGGTCCTTGTTTTAATGATCTCTTCTAAACCTTTCATCCACGCTTTCTTTCATTGATTTTATAAAATCAATAAAACAAGAACCTGTATGAAAATCTGAGTTTTTTAAAAACACAATTTTTCGGCTCTAATACAATTGCATTTGAATAATTTATTGTTGTTTTATTTGCTTAGAGAACCCGTTGCATAATAATCATCTGTATATTTGGACTTTTCTCCCCATTCAGGCCTGTGGGGAGATCATGAGTTTGGTCGTGTGTCTGCGTGCTTGTTTCTTACAGCAACTGATCGAGTCTATTACGGGACCTCAGCAGAATATTTGTAGCTTTTTTAAACACTATGCAACTAGAACTCTAGGGGTTGTGATCACTTATAACTTATGGAAATGTATTATGTTTAATATTATCATATTCTTTACTGTCATTGACTGCTGACTATTTGAGTTTCATCTACTTTCTGCTTTCTATTAGCTGTACTTTCTGATTTCGGTTGTCTTTCGATTAACTGTGGTTAACCAGTTTATAAGGTGTTTGTTTGTTCAGCTTGTGTGTCTCGTTTGATTGAGCCAGGCCTAATCTTACATGCATACACACATTTATATAGGCTGTTTTGCATGACGTTTTGTTTAGTGTTAGAGAACTAGTGCAGTGAGGTTTTTGTTGTTTGGTTTGTTTAATTAGTATTTACAACACAGCTCCTTTTGTTGTATTAATTTATTTTTAAACAGCACCCACCAGGCTCTCGTTCTTTTGTTTATTAGAAGCACATTTGTTTGTTACCTTTTAGTTTGAGTTGTTAATAAATAACTTTAATTTCACCAAGAATAACTGGTGTTTGTGTTCATTCCCTTTCGCTTTTAACGTGTCGGGCCTTTACGGCCCGTCCACACGGCGGTGTGCGTTGATGCTTCAACGCTTCTGCCCATTCACTTTGAATGGGGTGACATCACGCTTTGCCGAACTGCATTGTGGGAGCGTTGCTTCGCTTTGCTCGCTTGCTCGCGTTGCTCACTTCAAAAGTTGAGCAATGTTCAACTTTTGAAGCATCGGCAGAAGCGTCAGCCAATCAAATCATATGCCAGTAAAAGCTCTAGCCAATCAAACCACTGCTTGTGTGTCCGGGGTGGGAGATTCATGTGATTGGTTGCTGGTCGAGTTTCAGACACGCCCGCCGGCAAGCTTCAACGCACACCGCCGTGTTACTCTTACATTTTGAGATGCTTTAATGTTTGTCGGCTCTGTTGTGATTGGTCAACCACAAGCGCCAGTGTTACGTAGTCATGTCATCATGTTAGGGAAGTTAACAAAGGAGTCCAATGGAGGCGTTTTATGCAGGTGGGGGAGTGTGTGGAGATAAACTCTCTGGAGGGATATTTTGGATTTGAGCCTTTGCAGACTATTTACATGCACACAAACCTATATGACACATTACAGGAAAGGGAAAACCCCAAAAGCATAAAAGGGCCCCTTTAATAGGTGAGATTTAGAGATGCTAGGTGGTAGATTTTGTGGGATTACACCAGGCTAACCGTCAGCCTCTGATTACATTTTCTTTGTTGCTAAACTAAGCCAAAGGATTAGAATGGGGCGCTACAACCAAAGCTTTGTCACACTTTAAGATGCTGCTGTATGACTTGTCATTATTTGCTGGTTGAGCTAACTCACAGACTGACTGATCTCTAATAAACTCGGGTTGCACTCAGTCAGAACCTTCACTTCCAGGCGCCTGTTACTGCTCTCGCAGACATGCATCAAAGCCTAACTCAGTGCGAGAGCTTCATTGTGAGCTATCACCATCAACAGTGCTAAATAATTGAGTAAGCTACTTGTCATGCTGGATCTACAGAGCGGAGAGCAGAGGGAGCCACACGTACACACCGAGACCTAATGAATCATCTGCAGAAGCCCAGAGACAACATGACTAGAGAGCATGTTCAGACCCTTTGTGTGTGGCAAGTAGAGACTGGGCCTCAATGACCGAGATGCAACAGAAGTCATTACCGAGTGTGGATTTCAGACTGTCCTCCCTCACAGCATCAGTCCATATGCTGGCACTTCACTTTTTATGTTTAAATATATATATGGTCAAATAATTTACAATATACAGCTGAATCTCATTAAATAAGAATATTGTGGACAAGTTAATTAACTTAAAAAGGTGTTTGTTTATCTTTAATGTATATTTTAACATTAAATTATAATGTGTTTATTATATTTTATTCATTTTTTTATGTATAATACGTTTTATTCGATCTTGACTGGAATTTATTTTTATTAAATGTTTTATCTTCATTGCATTTGTTTCCTTTAAATTATTATGTGTACATAATATGGTAATCCTTTATTCTATCTTTACTTGGACTTTCATTTTCCCTTTATTGGACATTCTTACTTCTAGGGATAATTAAAGAGTTTTTGATTGAACCCAATCAATTTGATTCTAAAATGCACATGAACGAGGACAGAAACATTTGAACTGTGATTTTAGAGTGTGTGTGGCACGTGTAGGCGGAGATTTGATGTATAATCCAATCCAACTCACACACTCTTCCTCTTGCACCAAATGAACCAGTTTCTGCAGAATTTCCTCCAGCACCCTGAGGAGGCAGAGAGAAGAGGAGACATTCATCATGGGCGTAATGTCTCCGCTACCATCTGTGCTGCTGGTTCCCCGCCTGCTCCGTACCTGCCCTTGATGTTGAAGTTCTTCCCCAGCATCAGGTGTTTGAGGGACGGGTGCCTGGAGAACGCTGGGATGACAGCCAGCAAGTCAGCATCTAAACCTGAACACACAACAAAACACACATAAGTGACTTCAATAAGGATTACATGTGTACAGGTGCCAAAGAGAACAGGGTGTACGAGAGTTCATCTTTTATAAAAACAAACTTTCGTATCAAACTGAAACCTTTCTGGGCCGTCACACTCTGCCACATTTGGGGCTTTTAAGGCTCAGTTTTTCATCTCCTGTTCTGCTTTGGAGCGAAAAATCACACTGCCCACTGAAATTCCAAAATACTCCTAATTAACTGCCCCGCTCCCACCCACTCACATCTTTCAAAAAAAGCTCAAGGATGGAGGATGCTGCCAAGAGGAAGCGGTTACCATGGCAAGATATGACAGCGACAAAGCGTTAAATGCCTCATTCGGAAAGCGAAAAATATCCACGGTTAAATAAACCTACATGCCTCCGGTGTGAAGTGAGTTTCTTCACGTGTCAATGACAGGAAGCTATGACACCACAGAGGAGGAGAAGTGGAGAGGGCTGCGCCAGAGACATATTCATTCAGATGAATTAGGTAAAGGGAATTTCATCATCATTCTACGTCCAACTAGCACACTCATCCTTGAATAATACAACCAATTTTTACATTAATTTGTAGACTCTTTTGTGTTCTTTGATTAAACACAATGTAATTAAGCTCCTTTTGTGAGAAGGGCTGAAATTAGCGAACAATGTCTTAGTTGGTATTGTACTTTAGAGGGGAATGTTCCATAACATATTTGCTAATTATGAAATTGGCAAAAGACGTCAAGAGCTGCGGGAGAAACGTTTTTCTTGCTTAGGAAGTAAAATCTTTTATATTCCTATTTGTATTTTGTGCCTCTACTGTGACATTGTGGGTCTTGTGTCTCTCTAAAACATCTACTAAAACATCTGCCGTCACTTAGTGTACATTTCTGAGATCGCCTTTTCTTAATTTCTTATGAACTCTCGCTCACATCCATCCTTAACTTCATAACGTTTTTAAAGAACATTGAAGGAAAATAATTTAGGGAATGACATAGGACTAATTTGTTTGACTATTAAACTGCTGACTGTGTCTTTGCTTACTTTGAACAGTTGGAAATCCAGCCTTGAATATATAAAAAACAAACCTCGCTATCTCATGAATTAGTGCATCATTGTTTTACAGAGCAGTGGCTTAGTTTAAGACACAATAACATCAGGTGATTGGCATCAGCAGCTTCATTCAACTCTCACAATCATTGTTTCCTTCAACATCAACCAATCCTATTCATACAGCTCTGACACTTCTTCCTCTGCTGGGACACTAATGTTAACACTGTTTGCTGCCGCAGCACCCCCCACCCCTCCTGACCTCCTCCTAATATGATGAGCTTTTAGTACTGTCAATTCAACTAAGCTATAATGTTCATGTGTGTTTATCAAGGCATTAGCATTCCCAGCAGAATCCCTATTGCTGCACACATCTCCCCTGCTTATTCAAAAAGAGGAGCCTTTCCAGACAAATAGAACTGTAGAAGAAGCTATACGTCATACTTCCCTTGGCACACGTATACATAAGTGTCATAAAGGTAAATGGACTGCATTTATATAGCGCCTGTTTTGATTTTACGACATATACAAGTCAGCATTCACCCGTTCATACACTGCCATACAAAGTGCAACCTGCTTTTAGAAACTAACATCAAGTAGGCGTTCAGTATCATGCCCAAGGACAAATCAACATGTTGACTGCAGGAGTTAGCGAACAAACAACAGACATTCCAATTGGAGGAAAACCATCATCTTCCAGAGCAACAGCCACCGCATAAAACTGTTGTTGTAAAAACATTGTACCAATTAATTTGAAAACTTAAGAGCTCTTAACATTCTCAAAACCAATAGTGACTCACATGTAGAGCCTCCTTTAACAAGGTACTTCAACTGTTTAGTCATTCACTTCAACAATGTTGGGGTATGCAAACAGACATCCTGACTTGTAGTCTCTAGATAGACCCTCCAGAAAAACGCGATTCTGCAATCGCAGAATTTACCGCATAATCAGCAAAATGGCGCAGATTTTTTAAAAGGCCGCATATTTATCAAAAGGCCGCATAATCCCCGCATTTTTCCACACAAAGTTGAGGGGGAAAAAAGTTAACAAGTCTTGACGTGACGTCATCAGCTCGCGCATCACAGAATGTAAACAACACTGTATAGAGTGAACGTGTGGAGCTCACACGATGGAGAAAACACCAAGATGAAAAAATCTAATCCATCTCATTTACCGACGAACATTTCTACTAAAGACCGGGCAAAAAGTGGGGGGAAACTATTCTGCACCCCGTGCAACTGTGTGTTGGAGCATAAGAGAAAATCGATGGTGACGACCCACTTTGATTCATTCAAACATTCGAAAATGCTTTCTGCTGCTGCGGACAAGAAAGCCAAACAACTCACGTTCACCGAGGCATCAACCTCCAAAACCCTTTCGAGGGCTACAAGAAACGAAGTGAGTAGCCTACAAGATTGAAGCTGGTCAGATAACGAACGAGTAAATGAAAACAGAATGAGGCGGAGAAGTGTGTGTGGTGTGTGTCGGGGGGGGTGTGTGTGTGTGTGAGATTAAAATAGCCCAATTGCTTTTACAATAAATAAACATTGACTGTGTTTAATTGAATAGTAAAGGGGTTTAACGTTAGTGGCAGGTTGTGTGTGAGAGAGAATAAATAAGACAGCCCAATATTTTAAAAAAATTGTTATTCTTTTTTCCCGCATATTTAGCATATTTCACAACTTTCCGCATATTTCGCAACTTCCCGCAATTTCACCGCATAAAATCACATAAAAACCCCGCATGTTTAATTGCATAATCAATGACTTTAGCCCGCATAATCAAGGAATTTAGCCCGAATAATCAAAGATTTTTGCCCGCGCTTTTCTGGAGGGTCTACCTAGAATGGCACAAGCTCTAAAGCTTTACGCTGGTTCGTCTATTTCCAAAAAATGCAATTAAATAAAGTTGTTTTAAGCTTTTTAAACTAAGCTTTTGAGCTTTTTAAATATATGTTCCAATAACTAAGGTGTTTCAGCGAGAGGGTTCATCCAACTGCTGAACAAGACGTCTTTAAAGTGACCAGAAGTAACCTTTAACTTTCATGAACTGAAAACTCACTTTGAATTAGGCATAAATCTTTCAAATGTTCCAAACGGCATTGTTTCACTGAAATAGCCTCAAAATCACAAACTGCCATTAAGAGTCATATTCTTAACAAAATCTACTAAAACAAAGTACTGGTTAACGTTTTAAAAAGACCAAAATCAGACTGTGGTAGCGAGCTGTCAATCTCGTCGTAGCCCCACCCTAGAGCATTTCCTGCTTTATGTACCTTTTCAATTTAAAGTGGACCATTATTTACTTAATGAACATCATCCTGTATTCAAGAATAATAAGATAAAATATATGTACTTTTTTGATCCCAATTTGGGAATGTTTTGCGTTGCAGCAGCTTAAAAGACAAGGCATTGGACATAAGATAAATTAAGAGTAGAAATAAACAATTCTAAAATGTAAACATCTCAAAATAGAAAATATGAGGTTATAAGTCAATTAAGAATGGGTTAATTCTGTCATAGACTTCTATACAATCAGTTAATTTAGCAATGAAATCACCCCCTGCTGGCTATTCAATAGAATGCATGTTTAAGGCAGTAGACATTATACATTTTGACACTTAATTGACGATGTTAGTTCTAAATAAGAGCATGTCGTAGTACGCCATAGGTTGACAGGATCATTCAAAAATGCCTATAACATACTACAACAGAACATCTAAGTCTATCCCTGGTAGGTGTGTGCAGGAGTGTCTCTTACCATTATCAGAGATGTCTAAAGTCCCCACGCACGCAACTCGAGGAAACAGCTCCTGTATAACGCCAGCACCTGCTGACCTTAACTGTGGGAGGGAAGCGGAGAGGAGTGAGATGAGATGGGATCGCCACGGGCGTCCATCCATGGAGAAGATGAGTTTATAAACCTGGAGCGCAGACCAACAGAGCATACCTCACAGCTGCTGATGTCCAGGTGTAAGTCAATGATATGAGGGTTATTGGACAGACCTAGAAACAGAGCCCTGAAGAGAAAAAACAGGCAGAGAGAGAGAGAAAAAACAGGAGGGGGGAGGAGATAGAGGGAGGATGGGTAATTGGAAAGGAGAAGAGAGGAGAGAACAGAAGGATGGGGGAAATAGGAAAGAAAACAGGCATTTAATGGAAAGAAGAAAAAACAAAAACAAAAACAGAGAAAGAAAGACCCACATGAATCCAATTGCTTTGTTTCCTCCCTCTAACAACCTGAGACAGATCATACGGCCCCCTCCCTACCTCCCCGTTGGTTCTCCTCTGCACACCTAAAAAGTTCTACAGACGTCTTAAAAGATTCCCAGAAAAGTATCTTTAAAAAGAAGAGTCATTGCACCCGACCTCTGCATCGGAAATCAAGTTAAAAAACAAACCTTCAGTATTTATACGGGACAAGTAGCCAATTGTTGCACACAGGCCGAGCTGGATAATTAAAGGAAAAAAGGCATTTGCACATCAAGGCTCTGCTGGAGGTTGCTTCTTGTTCTGAGGATACATTTAAAGAGTTCTGTAACATTGGGAGGTAATGAGGAAAAGTATGGAGTCCGCTCTGTTCATTTTGGCTGAGATCCATGATGCAGTACACAGGCTTCTCTATTGTTGGCGGTTGGCTTTGTTTACAGCGCTATTGATCGTGTTTTTTGGCTAAGAGAAGCGCCAACAGCGGGCTACACACCTACTACAGAAACTGTAGTAAAGCAATATTCCTTCTAGTCTCGTTGGGAAACGTTCTTTGTTGTTTCTCCGCTATCTTTGAGATGCTTCAGATCTTCTGGAAGGATATAGAGTCCTGCACAGAGACACGTCTGTAAGGTGGATTCCGACCAATACGGGGAGTTCAATCTGCCTCCTCCGATTGAAGGCCAGTCCAACAACATAATAGAAAATGGCTCCATTGTCGAAGAGCAATCTAATGCGTGCCTTGATGATTAAATCCCATTGAACCTACTACAAACTACACTCCATATGGTATGAGCTCTTTAAGAGTCCAAGCCTCACATAGCAAAATATTGTATTTTTAAAAGTGCTTTGCTGAAGGTTGAATATAGAATATAAAAGGACTTAAGTGTCCAATTCAACTTAAGCACCCTAAAGCATCACGGGTGGAGTCAAATTTAGTACGATTGGCCCCCGTATCTTGTTCAGATTCATAAATGGTGGTTGACACAGAGAGGTGGAATCAGCCGGGAAAAGGGTGTACAGATAGAAATAACAGGCAACATGAAGGTCTATATAAACCACTAACATCATGAACCTTCTTTGTAGCTAAATATAGACTGTGTAATTTTTGTTAGATTAAATTCACCATTGGTCTCTAGATGTATGTTTGCATAGAGCTTCTGGACTGCAATCTGAGGAGGAACGTGGGCTCCAATATTCAAATGAAGGTCTCCTACACCTCCATATTGGCTCATTCACAATGTTCTATAAGCTAATTATATGGATGGACTCATACTGGGACATTTGCGATAGAAAGGCTGGGAGAAGTTTTTGTTCAATAAAGAATAATTTTTTTAGCATTATAGTACCATTAGGACTTTGAAACCTCTATCATATATTGCACTTTTATTGCACAGTAATCTGACAGTAATTATAGTCTTTAATCACAATAGTTGGTCATGTCTTTTCCAAGTGAAGGCTCAACTGGGTAAGAAAGCTTTAATAGGTTTTGCGCTACTCCGGTCCAATAGTCATTTATGCTTAGGAAGATTCCTAACAGAGTGAAATGACCCGGAAGTTTGAAATGGCAGCCATTATAGGAGCTGGTTAGGTTGTCTAAATGCTACGGAAAGGTGCTTCAATGCTCCCCTCCTTGTATCCTTTAGTATAGGGAACACTGGACAATCCCAGGGTTCATACACTTTTTCACCAATAATTTTCAATGACTTTTCAATGACCTTAACCTAACTTTCCATGACCAAAAAAATTACTCTTTCTCAGCGGTACCACTGAAAATGGTTTATTTTAACATGGAACAGGAAAATAAGGTCTGCATATGGAACATGTTGTGCCTATCTAAAACAAATCAAATAGTAGGCTTACTAGCTTCTACACGCTAAAGCCACTAAAATCTCTCACCAGCAAAACACCTCGTCAGTTAAATGCCATTTTACGTTTCACTATACAGTATGTATTATTGTTATAGTATTACTATTTTGGCGATTAGATAAAATATAAATTATATTTGATGCAACTTTAGTTACATTTCCATGACTTTTCCAAAAAAAAAAATTGTTCCATAACTTTTCCAGGGCCTGGAATTGGCATTTTGAATTTCCATGACTTTTGGATACATTGAAAAGGGACAGGTTTGAGTTTTTTACTGTTGCCTTTATATTAAGTTATACATAAAGTTGTTTTTCGGTAAGTGCAGTTATATTTTCTTTCCTAAAACCTAATGAGATCTCCATTTCATCTTTCTTTGACCTTATGACCTTTTCCATTGAGGTCGGTGAAAAGAGGTTAGGAAGAGATCTAGAATGAATTCAATATGTGCTGGTCTGTTTGACGTGTAAATTACATCTTGGCTTAAATTGGTGTTTATCTTTCTAGCTCAGCATGTACACCCTGTTCAGATACACAAGGGAAAGCTGATCACCATCAAAGGAATATTCATTATATAATCACAGTCCCACAACAAACACAGCTGCAAATACTGCTTAAGGATTTGGTTACCAAATTAATCATTATTGGGCATCAACTAATTAGGGAAGTTAACCAAGGTCAATGAGACTTATCAATCCAACTTTTTGTCCCAAATATACTTTTTGAGACTGATTTTTGGGGGAACAACTGAATGTTTTTTCTTTAATACCCAAATCAGCTTTTATTCTATTGTTGAGCTCTGCACAAAACAAATTCTATGTCTCTATAATCTATTTTGCAATTCATTGCCTAGGGAGCTGTTAAAGACGTCATACTCTAAACCCTAACCTGATGACATCACACATTTGAGCTTTAGAGCTCTAGTTTTGGGGAACTGAGAGAGAGTTTATCTTAATATTTTCAAATGTCTAAGACCATTGGAATACCTTGTTTTAATTGTGTTAATGCACGTACTTCCCCTTTAGGATATTTGCAGATACAACCGACCAATCCGATAACACTTCTCCGCTTTTTCCCAAAGTGTAAGTCTAAATGAGTGGAACTCAAGCTATTTTACAAATACAGATTTGGATACAGCATGTTAGATTGTGAAATGTCTAATTGTTATTTAACGTCCAAAACCTCCGTAAACTACACATTATATGATGTTATCTGTTGCCATCTAAGCCAATAGATATCAATTACAACATACGCAGTTTCCCATTTCCTCTGTACTGCTGGGTTCTTTAAACCTGAACATTCATACCTTTATATGTGTCCACTTAACATTCTGCTTGCATTTTCAGATGTGGCTTTGGTATATTTATGACAGTCACTGAAGTTTTTTTTCTCCCACTTGTGAATCTGGAGGGTTTATTTTTCACAGGTCACTTCTTCTGTCAAACCAGCCAGTCCTTAAAAAAATAAAAAACTGAGTATCTTGACAGCGCATTTTTGCTTTGATGTGCTTATCGGACTGAATTGTTTATCTTTGAATATTTTATTTATATTTATATTTCTCAGAGAGATGGATTTTTCAAAGTAGCATCGGCCATCTGCATCTCATCACTCCCCAAAGTTGTTAGGATGATAACATCTTTAATATACCATGGCTGCATTTACATAGGACTTCTATATATTTTCGGAGTATAATCTGAATATAATCTCGACGTAAATAAAACGCAAATGTCGCACACCTCCAAGAGTACTGTAAGATGTACTGTAGAGATCCATTTGCTGTTCAAAAACAGTTTTTTCCTTGAAAACCCTTTTTCTCTGACAGAGACTCACCTCAGCATATCAGGAGGGACTTTCACCGAGGCCAGGCTGACATGGGTCAGGCTGAATGCGGAGCTGAAGAACTGGCGGAAAGTTGGCAGAGAATCTCTCGCTTTCCTGGGAAATAGAAAAGAAAGGAAAAACAGCAGAGACAGAGGGTCAGCACAATAGACAGAGCACAGATGCTGGACGGACAGAAAACAAAAGGAAGGTGAACAAATGATGATTATGAATTGTATAGCATTTGCGGCATAGCCCAATCTCCTGGATGGCGAAGTCCATAAAATGTATTTGTTTAAATATCCTGAGAGTTAACGAAAATAAGGGGAGTCTAACTTTTAAGATAGTGGTAAATATATAGCCGTTTTCAGGTTGATTCAAATTTGAGAAAGCAGCAAAAAACAGTGAAGAAAAACAAAAGAAAGATTTCCAAAGAGCAGAGACAGAGGGTGAGCATAATAGATGGAGCACAATCAGACCGAAAGACTGACGGAAACCAAAAGGAAGGTGAGCAAATGACGAGATAAGAAGCCGTTGGTGACGGGGAGGCGGATGACGGGCGAAGTCGATATGCTGATAGAGAGTGACAGGAAGTTTGCAGCAGACAAGTGGAGAGCTGACAGAGAAGAAACGGAACAACGGGAGTGAGGGAAAGAGAAGTAGACAGACACTGGCTGTGACATTTATTATATCACACAGACTCGGAAAAGGTGAAGTTGACATTAATTACCGGCCCCGGTTAAAAAGGTAACATTGACCAATTATCCTACCATCTGCTGGAAACATATTGCATCAGCCCGTCATCAGAGGAAGGGCAGTGTGGGTGTACGTACAACATCCCTCAAAGACCTTTCAAATAAAAAGGGACTATCATCTGCATACAGAGGATGCATGCGGTACGCTGGTTCGAATCTCTATGAAGAACTTGTCAAAGCAATCTGCCCCCACTGCACAAATCAAACCCAGTAGGGGAGGATAAGGAGGGGGTCCGGGAACAGCGGGAGAAAATTATGAGGAGCATTGGAGGAGAGGGGAAAATTAGGTTTGTTTTCAGGAACATATAACCTGCTACCCATTTTCAGGCACAATGTGTTATTTACTTGCAGATGGCTTTTTTTGGTTTAGTTTTACGGCTACATTTTTTCACCATCATCCTAATCAACGAGCGCCGTTTCCGTGACGAGGCACTTTAGCTAACACGACTCATAATTTTAGTTGTTCATTAGCCACAATGCAAAAAGTCACTCTTATAGGAGAGGGAACCAATTATGTTCTTCTAGATAATTAATCTTTCCATTTTCCCTGGCAGACATTTGAACTCATCATTGCAGGGAGAGCACAGCAGGTGTTACTAATTTGGTTAACGAGGGCTCAGATCCATATATGGACTGCAGTCATTAATGTTATTAACTACAGCTGTGTCTTTTGGTGTCACGCATCAAAATGACTGCATGCAACATGTTTCCTTCACTTTGTTGTACTTCTTTTCTTGTGCTACAGAATCAATTAGCGCCAGATGGCTGAGGGAATCTTTTTTTTTGCTTTCATAATAAAGTCACTCATCATAGCGTTATCAAGTCATACAAAATAACAGCCCTGCCATGAGCTACATGCTATCATCAGCATGCTCACACTCAATGACATATGGGTATTACTGACACTAGAAGGTATATCGTCTCCCATATGTTCACTTTTCTGATTGTCCATGTTAGCAGTTGTGAAAAAGAACTCAACACAAAGTACAACAGCATCTGATGGGAATGTTTTTCGTCTGTTTTTAACTTAATATGGCATAAAAAGTAATGGACTAAGTTATATTGGAGAGTGAAAATGTACATTGTGTTGGCCATGAATGTCTGCACAAAATTCAACATCAATTATGCTTCAAATGTTTTATCAAGATAAATTGTTAACAAAAGTCAGAATTGTATTTGAAATACTGTACACTTTTTTCAGTTGGTATGTCAGTCCAAAACTCAAAGATATTTACTTTTTATTACAATTATTTTAATGTATTACATTCAAACAGAGAATAGCAGGGAAACTTACATTAAAGGAGCCTGAAAACAGCATTTGTTGTCATTTTCACATTCAACTAAATTGATTATGAAAATAGCTTTATTTTCCTTTTTTTGTTAACAAAATTACTTGTCATCTCATAGTTACAGTTCTACCGATAACCCGTCCAATAGAGGAGATATCAAGGTCTCGGTCAAAGCGATGGATCAACTGCTGACACTTCAAAAACACTATAAACTACTAGCATTATTTTAGTGTGGGAAAAACTGCAAATTCGCTGATTCATGTAATCGTTGTCAAAATACACATGTGCATTACAATAAAAAGAAAAAGGTAAAACATTTTTGGTTGTATAGATTTTTAAATATATGCTTCAGATAATTTACTTGTTTTCCCGATCAATTGATCATTTCAGCAGTTGTAAGAGCACTTCAAATTTCATTGAAAGCTGGACTCATTTTTTTCTAACAACATCGACCTCTGTTCATGCATTTAAACTTCCACTAATACTTTGAATATGTTTCAACTTTAAATGACACTTGGTCTTCTTAATATTAACTGACACATTAACAAATTTAATTACTCCTTTAATAACTACTTGTGCTAATTAAAATATCACATCTCATCAAAACCTTGAATTTTTTTTAAAGATATTTTCTTTTTAATAGAAGATTGTTTTAGGTTAGTTTTCCTTTTGCTCGAAGGAAATTGTTTTAATTTAATTTCAGATTACGGAAACTGCTCTTCAATGATTATTTCTGTTCTCTTTTATCGTTTCACTTAACGAGAAAGCTGCTCTACTTATGCAAATTGACCTGCCTTTAGCATCACATTAAACCTTTATCTAAACCTTTAGGACTTCATAAGTAAAAAGCTGCTCTGCTTTCCCCTGTGATAACGGAGCAAACTTTGTCCCCATGTGTTTGGCACAGCTGTTTTAATTGCTATGGAGCGGTGATGTGACTGGCTGAGAATAAAATGAATAATCACTACACCCCAGCAATTTCTATTCCGCTTCATCTAATGCCTTTGTGCATATTGCCCTGCCAGTGTAAGCCCTTACTGCCCTCGCTCACATGAACCAGTGATTTACACTGACTGGTGTGATTGCACCGTTAAAGACAAGCCCCTCAGAATTTGATTTAAGATCAGCTGAGTTGGCTTGTAAAGCCACAAAGATACAGGCCACAATTAGCACTTGGTCGGTGTTAATTTGAATCCCTAACCACACACTTACAAGGTTAAAAAACCTTCTACTTTTTGAATAATATATATTTAATTTCCCAAATATTATGGAAATATGAGGTTGACCGTACGTGTAATGGAAATTCCATGTTATCCTAAGGTAATTCAACATTTGAGATACCAGATTTTTAAACGGTCTTCCACATATACAATTTTAGGCAATCTAATGGGTAGGGTTCAGTTTGAGGTCAGAGTAGATCATTACTTCGATGGGGAAAAAAACAAGAAACTGTCAAGAACATTTCAAAATAACTGATCAGTGCATGCAATATTGTTGAGTAAGCTTTTTTCCCCCTTTTTTTAAGCTTATTACTATTACTATTTTTTTAAGCTTATTACAATGACCATTATATGTTTTTTTATTCTGCAAAGAAACATTTCTATGATTTGGGTTTGTTTCATAGGGTGCACCTGGCATAGATGATGTTTTAGGAACTTGAAGACCTACTGTGCTCTGATGTCTGTTGCTGACTTCTGGGTGCCACTCTAAAGGAGGACGCCATATACGAGGCCCTCAGTAATATTAGTATTACTATTCTGCTGGGAAACCTTGGGTCCTGCCTTTCATGTGGATGTTACTTTGACACGTACCACCTATCTCAACATTGTTGCAGACAAAGTACACTCCTTCATGGAGACGGTAATTTTGGCCGCAAAAGGGGGTCCTACACAATATGATTGCTAATATGGAGTAATGCTGAATAATAAGTTGAGTAAGAGTGCTGAATAGCGTCAGTCAGTGTGTTTTGCAGGTTAGTAGCAATCACACTTTTTGAAATGTTATGTTTTGTGCAAGTTTAAGTATGTAAATGAATGTTCATGCAGATGTTTCACTTATTAGACCTAGCAGACAGAAATCAGCCACGTTAGACTGATGTGCTTGTGTTTCTGAATTTTCTAAATGAATGTTTCTTTTGTGTCCAAATACGCCACACATACTTGCAAGTATTATAATATCCTTTCTCTAGACAGCAGTTGATTTTAAGTTGCAACTACAATCGATTCTTTCATAATGCTCTGAAATGTTCCCCACACAGATGATAAAACGGTATGTGAGGAAACGAATAAAAGAACATTTTGGATAGATTAGGGGGAAAAGGGTAGAAGAATATCAAGTTACGAAGGAGAAAGATGGGAAACGGTCATTAGAGAGTGAGTAATAGTGGAAAGCAATAAGAAGAATACATTAAGATGGGGCTGCTTTACAAGCACCTGTCATTGCTACTGTGATAACCTTCCAGTGCGTGGAACAGCAGCTTTTCTTTGACCCATTTGTACCGATTAGCATACCGCCTGTCAGGACCGCGCTGATACAGAAAGGCTTCTGTCGCATGAGCAGATACTGTGTCACTGTCTCCCTCACAAAACACACTCCAGGGGGGCGTATCAGCAGCTTGTTACCCCATGTGTACATGTGTGTAACTGTATCTATATGAGCTGCTCATTGTGTCTCGTGTGTGTGTGTGTGTGTGTGTGTGTGTGTGTGTGTGTGTGTGTGTGTGTGTGTGTGTGTGTGTGTGTGTGTGTGTGTGTGTGTGTGTGTGTGTGTGTGTGCACGTAAAGGTTCTGAGGGAGTCGGTTGCATATGCATTAGCGGCAGCCGGGGGGTTCTTATCAGCTCCGTTCAGCTTTGTGGCTCCGTCAGACCTGAAGAACTGAGCATTTAATATCAGAGGCCCCATGACCGGCCAGTGGTGGGATGAACTATGAAGAGAGGGATGCATAATGGGGGAGGGAAGATTTGTGGAGAAAGGGGGAGGAGGGATGATAGATAGGAAAAAGAGGAGAAGGGAATATAAGTGGAAGATGAGGAGCTGAGAAAAAAAATAGAAATGGAAAAAGGGATTTAAAAAAAAGGGCAGAAGATGGATGGAGTGAGGAGGTCTCCAGGAAAAGGCGAGTGGAATACTGGGAAATTCAATCTCATAAGAAATGAGTTTTGTGTGGTCAAGATCCCCAGCAAGAGCCTGGATTCAGAGAAGGGAAATGTAGCAGGGAAGATGAAAAAAAGGATGAGGTCCACCCCCACTTCAAATCACATGGACAGGTTCCTAAAGACATTTACAATTTTATTTAAATAATAACCCATGTCCATATATTTATTTGTGGGTAGTAGATGTAAATTATAGGGCTATCACTATGGGCATCAACGCTGTAAATATTGACAAATAAATCCAGCAAAATGGCAAAAAAAAAAAAAAAAGAAGATTGGCAGTTGCCTGGCTGGGTGTATAATTTCCGGCCTGACTTATTGTCTCGGTCCGACCCTGGCTGTGCCTGTTCGCTCTGCCTTCACGTGAAGGGTCTGCTCACAAGCGACCAACAGAAAGGTTAATGTTGTTGTTGTTGTTGCACGTCACCTCAACTTACCTTACCCCCCCCCACGTATATTTCAGATCTGTGGGAAACACTTGTTTCACATTTGGTTTTAATCTAGTTTGATATGATTTTTCAATGCTTATTTTTTGTCCCTTTGTAGTTTTAGTTGCTGCTCTCCTAAGGTATATTTAAATATTACCTCCCATTAGCAATACATTATTATTATTATTATTATTATTATATGTAGACCTTTAACTTATTTTTTATAATTTGTTTTCAAGATTGTTCCAGGTTTGTTCAAATTATTTGTAAGTATATTGTCTTAATCTAATTTCTGATATTTTGAAATGCTAACTTTTGGCCTGTTTTGCAGTTCAAACAAAACTGCTGCACTAATGTCAATTCAAATATCACCTGCCTTTAGTATCGCACTTGCATTATATCTGAACCTTTAAAAGGGGTTTGTGTTTGTATGTAGTGTCTCTACTGTGACATGTCTCCATGCTTCAATGTTCAAAAAGCTCTTTATTTTTCTCATACTGCCTGTGCTGCAGCACCTTTTTTCCCCCTCTGTCTGAAAAAAGAGCCCAATCTGCTCTCATTGGTTAGGTGACCGGCTCTGTTGTGATATGATAGAAGCCTATCAAGTACAATATGTTGGAGCACTAGCCAATAGAAGCGCAAGTGTAAGGTAGTGATGTCACTATGTCGCTGATGTATACAAAGGACTACATTTGAGGAGGGAACTTTGGGATTTTAGCCTTTGCAGACCATTTACATGCACAGAACCCCTATATAAAAACACATTATGGCAAAGGGAATACCCCAACGAGCAGAATAGGGCCTCTTTAATTTTACTTATCAGTTTTAACCTGGCAAGATTGTTACAAAAAATGTAAAAAGTAGAAGATGGACTGAAGAACACAGCAGATAGAAACGAAACAATTAGAGGGAGAAAGTGAGAGAAACATGCAGGCGTGGGTGCCTGGGGATTGGAACCATAATTCCCATCTAAAATTAGTCTCATTTTTCAACCGACTCCTTCCCCAGTAATTCTGTAATGTAATATGCTGAGCAGAGAATCTCCTGGGCACCTGGGGGACTCAACATGATGAGGCCCGACTGCCTGATAGCTAGGTAAACACAAACACACAAACACAATAAAAAAAGACAAAAGACTTGTGGGCACGCTAACAAGTGCTTGACAGATGGAAAACTTGTTAGCAAACAGAGACATGTGTACATTGAGAGACAGACGGGAACTCATTCTGCAGGCAAAGTGTATATGCAGCGAGTCGGAACAAGTTACGGGGGCGAGCCAAGCATGCACACTAATTACGTTAGCGAGGTCCAGGGCCAAATGCTAATCTGCGGCGGGAAATAAATGAGGATGCTTGCTCTGCTCCTGACTGGAATATCTCCAGAGCTGTTTGGCTGAGTCAGAAGGGAACTACATTTGTTTAAAAAAACAAAACAACAACAAAAGGGTTTGCAATGGAGATGAGGCCCACCTGTGAGAGAAGGAGTTCTTGGAGAGGTTCAGGTAGGAGAGGTCAGCGCAACAGCCTCGCAGCAAGGCCCCAAACAACTGGCAAAGAAAACAGAAAGACAGAGTGATAAATGAGTTTTGTTCTCTACAGAGTGTTTTGTATAACAGTTTTTTTGGCTCTTGAACACAGCACAAACGAGTATAGCACAGATTAAATATGACACAAATGCATTTCGAACACGCTAAAAAAAAGTGATGCCTCTGAACTGTATTTCTTCCTTGGCAGTAATAGAGCAGAACAAATGAGATGTTACATCTGGTCAAATCAGGACAAAGCCGTCTTGGCTATTTGTTTTAGGATTGATTTGATCCTTTTTGGGCCATATGGTAAGGGTTTATGGGAGATGATGCAACATTTCTCATTACGTTTCTACAATCACACGGACACAAGTATAATGAACATGTAGTTACTTAACAGTTGAGGAAGAAACAAGTGATGTGGAAGAAAACCTTATTTCAGAAAAAACACAGTTCAAAACAACCACATTATTTGTTCCAATTAAAATGCTGCTGTCTTAATTTGTGCACTGGAGCAAGGCACTGATTTATTTTCATCCGAGACCCTAAATTGTTGCAACTCAGTGCTGTCGGGGAAGTGCTGATAGAGGGATTTGGCTCTGGTAGTTTATGATACATATATCTGGTGGTCAGCTGTAAGCAGAGGTGGAAAGTAGCATTTACTCAAGTACAGTAGTAACTAAGGGCCTGTATCCACATAGCGCCTTTTTCTGAGAGCAAGGGTCTCTTTTCAATTGATTCCAATGAGATCATAGGTATTTCCATCAAATGCTGGCAGTGGCTCAGTCGGTCGGGGCTTGGACTGGGAATCGTAGGGTCGCTGGTTCAAGTCCCCGAACAGACCTAAATAAGGAGTGTGGACTGCTACTTGGAGAGGTCCCAGTTCACCTCCTGGGCCCTGCCGTGGTGCCCTTGAGCAAGGCACCGGACAAATATTATTTTCTACCCTGTTATTGAGTGAACTAATTCCTAACAACTGCTCAGGCTCTTTTTTCATTTTTAAATTAAATGTGATGCTAAAAGCAAGAGTCTACCGCCATGCTAGCAGCACTGTTAAGCAGAACTTTGGCTACCAATAAATGCGCCAAATACAGGTACAACATTTAACAATGGACACAATTTGTCTTTAGAATGTAAGCACAAAGTACAGGTATGGGCATAAAACTAAAAATCCAGACAGATTCAAATCTGAGACATGGCACTACAGGAAAGAAGTTTTAACAGCTCATCCTAAGGGGAACATGAGTGAGTGTGTGTACCACATGTCAACCTCATGGTGAGGGGGGAACACAAAAAGACCATCATTGCCCCTGTTTGAGCCATGCTTGATCTTTGAGATTGTTGAATAAAAATGTCCCTAAATGGGAAAATAAAAGACATATTTGAAATGAAACCATGAATTTGAGTTATTTAGGCCCATATAGTTGGAAATTAAACATTTTTTATGTTCTTGCCCATTTCAGGGTAATTGCTCCCTAGCTCCAGCAACAGAGCTAAATATAGCAGATATTGTGCTCCTACCAATACTTCAAAGTGTGTACGGAAAGGGCGGTCAGAGCGAGCTTACGAATTCCCGATAGCGGGACCAAATGGGCAATAAGAAGAGTAATTGTATTAAACTGAATCAGAATAGAGCTGAAACCACCAGCAAATTAGATGAGTTAAGAATGAATATTAATAAAATGTCAAGATTCACATTAAGTATAGAAAAAGAGCCACTGGAAAAAATGAATTATTCTGTGTCACTATACGATCAAAGTGTCATCGTGAAGCATTCATGTACCATCCATCAAAGTGCATAACCAATCCCACTCTTATCTTGGGAAGGTAAGGCTCGAATTCAAACTCTGCAGGGCTCTGGAAGGTACAGAAATTAATATATCTGTGTTAGTGACCCAATTAATGTTGACATAAAGATGATTTACTTGTGTTTATTGGACAGGAGAGAGTTTCAGGGCATCAAAACCCAATTTCTCGTAAGACTTGAGCCGCATCTAAATCGCTAGCGAGAGGTTAAACTATCGGACAAATCCATTTTACCCTGGCAGTGCCATCCCTCACACAAATTGACTAATCGACCCTTGTCGGTGCATCAACGCAGATTAAAACAGGAATTTATTAATAATTCAATCCAACGGGCCAACACTAAAAGAGACAAATTCTCCCTCAGACAGTTTCTCACAACGGGATAAACGACAATTACCAAAACGTGAGTTTCTCTTTTTTGTCTCAAGAGGATTTTTAAAGAGAAATACGAGGGGACAAAGTTGAAGTGTCCAATCAGGCAGTATGGATGCACATCATTCAAAACTCACTTGATGGCCCCTGCTGAAAGAGATCCCTGGCTGACAAGCTGACTGCTCTTTGGGGTTTACAATGGACTAAAGGGCAAACACACGTACAGTGAGTCGCAAGGCATTGTAATAATAATAATAATAATAGCTTGGATTTATATAGCGCCTTTCAAGGGACTCAAGGTCGCTTTACAAGTAATAGGGCAAAAAACAAACATAACAAAACAAAAAGTCAGACAGGCAAAACAACAGATCGATCTAGGGGCCGAAAGCCTTGGCAAACAGATGGGACTTGAGGGCCCTTTTGAAGGCGTCGAGTGTGGGGATGTTGCGAATCTCCGCAGGGAGAGCGTTCCAGAGGGTGGGGGCTGCCACACTGAAGGCCCTGTCCCCGAAGGTTCGCAGTTTGGTGCGGGGGGTGGTAAGCAGGCCAGAGTCTGAGGACCGCAGGTTCCGCGGTGGGTCATGTGGGTGAAGGATGTCCGATAGGTACTGGGGGGCAAGGGCATGGAGGGACTTGTAGGTGAGGAGGAGGACTTTGTAGGATATGCGGGACTTGACCGGCAACCAGTGTAGGTGGATGAGGGTGGGAGTGATGTGCTGCCACGGCTTTGTGTGTGTGAGTACCCTAGCAGCACAGTTTTGGACATACTGGAGCCTGTCCAGGGTTTTGTTGGGAACCCAGAACAGGACACCATTGCAGTAATCCAAGCGGGTGGTGACAAAAGCATGCACTAGGGTTTCGGCAACCGACTCCGAGAGTGACGGTCGGAGTCTGGCAATGTTCCTTAGGTAGTAAAAGGCCGATTTGGTCACAGATTTGACGTGGGAATGGAAGGAAGGGGTGGAGTCGAGGATGACACCCAGCTTGCGGGCTTCAGGAGATGGGGAGTTAGAGCAGCCGTCGACCTCGAGGACGAAGTCACCAACCTTCTGGAGCAGGGCCTTGGGTGCCACAACCATGAGCTCTGTTTTATTGCTGTTCAGCTTAAGATAGTTGGAAGACATCCATGTTTTGATGTCATGCAGGCAGTTGATGAGAGACTGAGGGGGGAGCTGGGAGGATGGAGTGGTGCTGAGATACAGTTGGGTATCATCAGCGTAGCAGTGGAAATTGAGTCCATGATGTCGGATGATCTGGCCGTGGGGGAGCATGTAAATGGTGAACAGGAGGGGGCCAAGCACAGAGCCCTGGGGAACACCGGTGGGACTGGGGCTGGGGGTGAGTTCGAGCCACTGATGGAGACAAACTGTTTCCTGTTGTGGAGTAGGATGTCAACAGGACAACGCTGTGCCAGTGACCACCTAGGGAGGTCTGAGAGGCGGGTGAGGAGGATGTTGAGGAGATAGTGTAAACGCTGCAGAGAGGTCCAGGAGGATGAAGATGCTGAGGCGGACAGAGTCAGCAGCAACAATGAAGGAGATCGTTGGTGATCTTGATGACGGGCAGGTCTCAGTGCTGTGTTGCTGTCCTGAAGCCAGATTGGAAGGCTCATAGAAGCTCATGGTTGGACAGTGGAGATGGAGTTGGCCGGCGACCACTCTTTCCAGAGTTTTTGCTGAGGAAGGGAAAGGTTGGAGATCGGCGGTGGTTTCAGGAGGTCGTCGGGGTCCAGCCAGTTTGTTGAGTATGGGGGTGACTGAGGCCATTTTGAAAGCTGGTGGGGACTATACCAGGAGCCAGAGAAGCGTTGATAATGACCACCATTGTAGGGAGAGAGAGTGGGTAGGCAGTCTTGAACCAGGGCTGTGGGCATGGGGTCCAGGG